ACTACTACTACTACTACTACTACTACTACTACCACTATACTACTACTACTACTTCTACTACTACCACTACCACTACTACTACTACTACTACTACTACTACTACTACTACTACTACTACTACTACTACTACTACTACTACTACGACTACGACTACGACTACGACGACTACTACTACTACTACTACTACTACTACTACTACTACTAAGTTACTAAGTTACTAAGTTACTACTACTACTACTACTACTACTACTACTACTACTACTACTACTACTACTACTACTACTACTACTACTACTACTACTTAGATACTACTACCACTACTACACTGTGGCCAGGAAGCCGAAGGCACACTGTGGCACATCCGGAGGCCACGCGCCGCGGCGACGGCAGGATCGCGCCGTGACGGCTTCGGCGTTGGTCCTGACACCACCGCGGGAATCGTTCAAACTTCTAGGGGAATCGAACTCTATACACCGACGCTTTTTCTGGCCCTGCACTGAAATGGGCACTGGAGAGCGGATCCCGGCGTATACGGGACCCTGGTGTATACATTTTTCGTTGTTTCCCCGAGACACTGGGGGAAAAAATATACACCACACCACCCCAGCGTCGTCCCCGACCCTCAAAAGTCCTAGGATTGAAAAACAGCCCGCCACTGGTAATGTATATGTTCCAATTTCCGACTTAAACGATCGGCCGTTTCCGAGACGACAGATCGATCAACATCGACCGATTCTGGGTCGCCCGCGGCGTTCAGCGTTGAACGCAAGCGGCGGGGTCGCCGCCGGTCGACACGACGCGAACCTACCGTGCGCATGTGGAGGACCACCTCGCCCGGCCTGAGGTCGGGCATCTGGACGAACAAAATCTCCCAGATAGTCCAAAATGATAGGAAAATCGCCACCAGACTATGCTTTTGACTATCTTTGAGCATTCCTCCTGTGGAGGGACAGGCCCGACTGAAGCCAGGCCACACGAGGGGCCGAACGCTGGCAAGGCGTCTGGCCACGTGTGCAGCCAGCCCTCGCCCGCGGCGGGCTCCGGAAGCCCTCCACCCACAACTGTTTGCCATCTCTTGGGGGCGCACCTTTCCTCCTCCTCCTCCCCCTCCTCCTCCTCCTCCTCCTCCTCCTCCTCCTCCATCCTCCTCCCATCCTCCTCCTCCATCCTTCGCCTCCTCCTCCTCCATCCTCCTCCTCCTCCTCCATCCTCCGCCTCCTCCTCCTCCTCCTCCACTATTCTCCTCCATCCTCCTCCAACCTCCATCCTCCGCCTCCGCCTCCTCCTCCTCCTCCGCCTCCTCCTCCTCCTCCTCCTCCTCTTAAGGCGAGGCCCTCTTCATGGAACGCCCCATGAGCACCCGGCTTCCTGGTAGCTTTTCATCCGGGGTCGTCCCCTGACGGCCCCGGGGCCCCGCATGGAGCGGGCGCCCTGCGGAGCCCGAGCGCGGCGGACCCTCAGGAACTCTCTCCTGAGGAGCTCCGAAGCTGCGAACAAAAGAGCAATACTATATGTTCATATATATATAGGTATATATATATATATACATACACACCGAAACAGCGCGACCATAACGGTATGGATCACATCTCCTCAGATCCGACGTTGTAAAACAATCTCAACATCGCAAGCAAAATCACCACCATAGCCCCGGACTCCATCTTTCTGCGCCATTTTGCGAGCCTGACGGGTCTGGATCCTGGGGCCCGAGACAAGGCAAACTCTCTCGTAGTGGAAAACATTACAACGCCAAGATCTGAGGGTACAGTCATCGGCCTGACCTAAGGAACGATAACTAAGGAACGAAGCCCCTTTTTTATCCCAAGGAATAACGCATAAGGAACGATAAATAACACATAACGCATAAGGGACTGTAAATAACGCATGTAAACTTAAGGAACGACCGAGCCCCTTTTGAAAAGTTAGTGTTCCTTATTCAAGCCGATCACTGTATGCGGCACCGTTCGAGCTGGTTCGATCTGTGATGGCCCTGGGGCCCAGGGCTCGGCCAACGCGCCCAGCGTGCCAACAAACTTTGCAACTCCTCCTCCTCCTCCTCCTCCTTCTCCTCCTCCTCCCCTCCCACTCCCTCCCGCTCCCAGCGCGAGGCGCCGCGGGATGCCGCGCGGGGCCGGGGGCAGGGTGTGGGCGGCGGCCGCGGCCGCCTCGCGCTCCGCGAGGCCGACGCCGGGGCCCTGGCGGCGCTGCCCCGCTGCCGAGGGGGAGGGGGGGGGCGGGGCGTCGAGAGAGGAGGAGGAGGCCCCAGAGACCCGACGTGGAGGAGGAGGAGGACTCAGAGAGGAGGAGGAGGAGGAGGAGGAGGAGGAGGAGGAGGAGGAGGAGGACCCAGAGGGAGGGAGGAGGAGGAGAGGAGGAGGAGGAGGAGGAGGAGGAGGAGGGAGGAGGAGAGGAGGATGACCCCAGAGAGGAGGAGGACCAGAGATCCGACGTGGGGAGGATCAGAGGTGGAGGAGGAGGAGGAGGAGGAGGAGGAGGAGGAGGAGGAGGAGGAAGGAGGAGGAGGAGGAGGAGGTGGAGAACCCAGAGAGGAGGAGGATGGAGGAGGAGGAGGAGGAGGAGGAGGAGGAGGAGGAGGAGGAGGAGGACCCAGAGAGGAGGAGGACCCAGAGATCCGACGTGCCAGGAGAGCCGGGGCGGAGTTCTGCTCGCCGCCGCTTGGCCTCAGGGGGCCCCTCGCCAGGAAGAGGCGGCTCGCGGGACGGGGAGCCGGCCCCGGGGAGGAGGTCGAGACCTCCGCGGGGCCCCGTGCAGGGAAGCTCCAGGCACGAGATGTCTGGGAGAGGCGACGGGCCGGTTCTTCCTCCTCCTCCTCCTCCTCCTCCTCCTCCTCCTCTCCTCCCTCCTCCTCCTCCTCCCTCCTCCTCCTCCTCCTCCTCCTCCTCCTCCTCCTCCTCCTCCCTCCTCCCTCCCTCCTCCCCCTGCATGGCGCGCGAGGGGGGCGAGGAGGGGGAGGGCCAGCTACTTAGGTGCGTTCGCACCTCGGGGCGCCGCGCCCAGCGGCTGCCAGCAGCCCTCCCGTCGGCAGAGTCCGCGCCGCCCGCGCCTCGCGGTGGCGGCAGGCGGGGCGCCGGCGCGGCGGCTGCTCTTCTCGTCGGTCGACCCAGCAGGTCTCATCCTTTGAGCAGGGGCCGACCGTCCCGGCAGTCCTATAGTCCTACCACGCAATGTTTTTCGGGCCCCCAAAATGTTCTAGGAACAACAAAGCAATGTTCTTGGAGCATGAGCCCGATGTGATAAGACAAGACAGCCCCAACCAGAAGTGTTCTGAGAACATTTCGTGGGAACCACAAAAGGTTCTTAGAACATTGCTTGGTAGGACAATCGGCACGCCAGGACGCTTCGCCGCTGCTTTAATCCCGACTCGTTGTTTGACGGTCCCGAGGCCCGGCGAAGGCCCCCCAAGGCCGAAATTGGCCAAAAACCTGCCGCCCTGATCTTGGTTACGGCGCGATCATGTCTGGGGAGAGGCTGGGAGGGAGGTGGCCTGAATCTTGGGCGGACGAAGCCCTTCGGGACTCAAGAGATCGGGGGGCCTGGGGCAGGCCTTCACTCATGGGGCGGAGGGGCTTCGAGGAAGCCGACGGCCTTCTGAGAGGCCCTCGCTGGGCTTCGGAGAGGGCTTAGGCAGCCCGCCAGAAGACCGGAAGCCTTCTGGGCTTGTCCACCGCCGAGAGGAGAAAAGGAAGAGGAGGAGGAGGAGGAGGAGAAGGAGGAGGACGAGGACGAGGAACCTTCTGAGCAGGCCCGGCCCTCTGCCTCCCTCACGGGGCGCCCCGCGGACGGAGCCTGCTGAGCAGGCCCGCCCCTCTGCCTTCCCCGCGGGGCGCGCCGCGGAGAGGACCGCGAGGCGAGGGGCGGAGAGGCGGAGAGGCGAGGGGGCCTGCAGTGCAGGCGGACGGAGCCTGTCTGACTACCTACCAGACCACCACCCCAACCCAACCCGAAGACCCGAATTTCGGGTTGGGGGGGGTAAGGGTTCCACATGTGTTTTTTCGATGTTTCCCGACCCCCCCCCCCACTGGAAATCGAGGGTAAATCTGAGCCTTCGGGTTGGGTTGGGGTGGTCTGGTGGGTGGTGACTGTCGGACATTGAGGGATCGGAGTGTGCCCAAGGTCAGCAGGTGCGCCTGGCATCGCTCGGACGTGTGCATTTGTCCTTTGGCGAGGACCATCGAGGAGCATCCTTGATCAGTTGGCGAAGAAACCACGCACGAAACCGACAAAAAAACAGGGAATGGACGTCCGAGCGATGCCCAGTGCGTGGCACGCAGAGGATGGGTCCGGCCATTACAGTCGGCCGTGATTGGGCAGGACACGCGAGAGGACACAAGACCGTTCCGAGGGCCACATCTCCATAGGAGTGTAAGAAGGCACGCGTCGGGAGGCACAGGACACAAGGGTACCCTTGAGTTGGCAGGGTCGACATACTAATCCAGGCCGAGCTGTAAAGGATGGGTCCGGCCATCATCGGGGATCACGACAGCTTGAGCCGATGAGCGGCCGTCGCTGGCGCAGCCAGTGCGAACCGCTGGTTCGGGAGTCACGCCCCCGCGCTGCCACCGAGTCTTCAGGGCCACCCGCCCGTGCGTGGCACGTCGCGGCTTCAGTTTCCTGCAATAATCAGACTGTGGGCCCACGGGCCCGCGCAGTGAGTGCGCCAGCGTGCGCGCTCGTATGTGTCGGGCTGAGCCGCGCGCGCAAGGGGGGCAAAAAGGTAATACCGAGACGGCTGCTCCCAGGAGCTCTCCCGAGGTGTCGTCTGACCCGAATCTCGATGCGAATCCAACGGTGGCGACGAGGGCCTCCCAGGAGGCCCAAAAATGCGAGAAAACTATGAACATGTAGCAATATTCGAGAGGGGGATCGACTACCGCTCCGTCGAACCAACGAAAAACACGTAGAGTGCTCCGTTGACCTACGGGACAGCCGACGTGTTGCACGTTGCTTCGGCGAAGATTCTGGGGCAGTTCAATTCTGTAGTCGATCCCCTACGCGAGGTCTCTGATGGGCCGATTCCCCGGCACCGCCACCACAGGCAGGATGGGGGAGAAGGGAGGATGTGGAGGTTCTCCTCCTCCTCCTCCTCCTCCTCCTCATCATCATCCTCCTCCTCCCCCTCCTCCTCCTCCTCCTCCTCCTCCTCCCCCTCCTCCCTCTCCTACCTATGGTACACGTCGTTCATTTCTAATCGTGCTCATTTCTAATGCTTCTCGTTTCTAATTGTTCCTGGCCCCCTATAGTTTTTTGGTTGTCAGCGATCCCCTGGGGGCCTGAACGATTTTGAAACAGCACGTCGGCCACGATGGCCGAAGACCAGCTCACCCGCTGAGCACGTCTGACGTACAGCCCAGCAGATGAGGGACAGCGGGCGGGACAGGGAACAGATGAGGCCCCAGATTTAGCCACCCGCCATCCACAAAATCTGGTCAAAATCTGGTCACGGTGCGTCGCCTAAAGGCGCGGCAACGGACCGTGCCACCGCCGACGCTTCACGGGCCTGAATGCGTGCCAGGAGCGCCGCCATACCTGCCGTCTCTATCAGCCCTGACGGCGAGGGCGGCAGGCTGACATCTGGCGGCGGTGGCCTCTGAGACTCGTAGCCAAAGAAAGCCATGCCTCGCCTCGAGGATTCGCTCACCGTGCTATTGTCACGATAGTGAAGATAGAGGCCAGCAGAGATACTCCTCAGCACGGTAGTGCCACCCGCCAGTCGGCGCTGAAGGCACTCCTTGCCGAGCATATGACAGCGCGCAGAGGAGTACGCTCCGCACATGGAGCAAAAGAAAAGGGTGAGCCTCCGCTCACCTTTGCTTACAATGCAATGCGCCAACGAGTGCCCCAAGGACCGATCCAGGACACCACGCCACAGCCTGCTGGGTCCTTTACATCCCAACATGGGGCGCGCATCCCGATCAGGGGACAAACAATGGCAATGCAAACATCTGGCGCAGCCCTGACCTATTTCCTGCCAGGAATGCCAACCCCCAGATTTTTCAAAAAAAAAAAAAAAAAAAAAAACTTAGCCGTCGGCCCCAAGGGCCGACGCTCAAACTTTTCGGGGGGAAAGGTGGCAAGTACGGTGCCCGCCACCCTAGCAGCGAAAGCCAACAAATCACACTTCCTGTCCACCTCCGTACGTTCGCGCACACTGGGTTGGGGATGGAGGAGGAGAGCTTGCTTGGCAAGGGCGTCGGCTTTCAAGCTGCCTATACCAATCCGTTTCTCGTGCGCTGGCAGAGCATCCAGAACAGCGCGCGCACGGTGCGCAGGTGCGCGGTGCACCGACGGGATGGGGAACTTCTCATGGGGCAGGGCACCTCTCCGAAGACCAGCATAACGATGTTTATGACAAACCTGGTGCTCCCTCGTCGCCACACAGATGCGCACCACATTCATGCAATCGGTGTGGCGGTCTCCGCCGTTGCTCTGAAACATCGGGAGGAGGGCCATGCAAAGGTGCTCCGCAGCTTGGGATGTCTGGGGGAGGACCGAAAGAACAATACCTTTGGCGTACGCAATAATAGTGTCGCCCTCTCCCAAGAAAACCCAGGAGTACGCCGCTCTGGACAACTCCCTAACGGTATGCCGATAGGCCGAGCCGTCCATGACGACATCGCAACCCGAGAGGTCCACAGAACCCCAATCAATACTATTCCCTTCAGGAGAGTACAGGATGGGTTGAGTGGCCGAGGACGGAGGAGGGTAGGAGGCTTCAGGGTGCTCCCACTTTAATTCATCAAAGAACAAACGGTCCTGACTTTCAAGAGCTTCGTCCAGCCATTCAACAGGAGGGTCATCAGTAACACTTTTACGGGCGGCGACGGTGTCCGGGTGAAGGCACTGCCAAACGCGATGCCGCACGCTGTCGGGCATCCCGCACTTCGGGCAAAGTCAGTCGCACGAGTATCCAGCAGCCTGAGCCCTCGCTCTGGTCCAAATCCCTTTGCAAAACACACTCAACGCCAAATACTTCTGCTGTGGGTTGAGTTTCCTTCCCTTGGGGCCCAGCAAGGTTTTCAAGGATCGACGCAAAATCGAGAACCGTCGGCTCCAGGGGTGTCCTGGCATAAAACACATTCATGTTTTCGCTGGGCCGCCCAATGCAACATGTGCGCTAACATAGCGGGCGAGGTGTATCCCAATTGCACCTCTCGACCGCAGTCGTCCTCAAAAG